TCCACCAGCACCCCCAAGTCCCTTTCCTCAGGGCTGCTTTCTAATACCTCACCCCCTAGCCTGTACTGATGGTGAGGATTGTTCCGGCCCAGGTGCAGAACCTTGCATTTGCTCTTGTTGAACCTCATGAGGTTCACCTGGGCCCACCTCTCCAGCCTGTCCAGGTCCTTTTGGATGACACCCCATCCCTCTGGTGTATCGACAACACCACACAGCTTGGTATCGTCCGCAAACTTGCTGATGGTGCCTTTAATCCCCCTGTCTATATCATTGATAAAAATGTTAAACAGTATTGGCCCCAGCACGGACCCTTGAGGAACACCACTTGTGACTGGTTTCCATCTGGACTTTGAGCCATTGAGTACCACCCTCTGGATGCCACCATCCAGCCAGTTCCTTATCCACTGAACAGTCCACCCATCAAATCCATATCCCTCCAATTTGGCAATCAGGATGTTGTGGGGGACCGTGTCAAAGGCCTTACAGAAATCCAGATAGATCCAGATAGATCTTGGGCTTATCTCTGGGTGTTGTTACCCCACGGTAGAAAATAAAGATACTCTTCTTTCTATTCTGATCTTGGAACCACAGGATTGAGCCCGGGCTTGCTGTGACTGACCTTTCTGTGCTCCAGACTTTCTCTCTGGCCACCGAGCAGTGTGAGACACCATCGGTAACTCATGCTGAGGCTTCTCCTGCCTTGGCTTCTCTTCCTCCCTCCAGCAGCCAGGATGGTCTGGAAAAGGCTCCTGTAGCTGTAATTTCAATGCTGTGGGGGAAAAATTACCCTAAGAGGTGCACAAATAGCTCGTTATGGTATTGATGCCCATTGATGGGGCAGGGAGTCCCTGAGGAGTCTTGCCCTGCTGAGACTACAGGATATGTGGGTCACTGGCCTGAATTTGTTACTCGTTTTTTGGGGGTCTGTGGATTAATAACCTTCCTTTAAGTCGTGCTTGTTCCTTTGATCTTCCTCCCTTCTCAAGGAGGAGATCAAAAGTTTTCAGATGTTTTCCAGTGCTGGAAAACGAAACTTTGAGCCTTTTCAGAGGCAGGATGTGGGATCCTCGCAATGAATAGCTCCCTTGTTGTCTGAGTGCCTGCTGTGATCTTGTCTGGGAGCCACCATGTGCTTCCCTGCTCGCCTGGAGCCCTGGGGGAATTTACACAAAGTAGAAATAGCTCAATCTACCTACTTACAATTGCCTTGTTGACCCCATCCCATCTGATTTTTGTAACAGAAATGTAGAGCTTACATTTTTAAATGAGTATATAGGGAACCACTATCCAACAAGCATCCGTTTAGTGCCATAGGAATGGTATTGACAGTTTTGGTTGCTCGCAGTCAACATTTCCTCTTTCCTTGGTCTGATGCTTCCTGACTAGTCCCTGGGTGCTCTTTGCTCTTCCCAGAGACTCCTTTCCTTACAGAGGGACACCAGGGTCCTCCTTTTTTTCCTCAGCTTTCCTTCCCCACGGTTCCCCACTTCCCTCCCACCCGAGCTCCACAGCATTTACAGGAGTTGGAGACAGCTGGAGGCTTCAGGTGTCTGCTCAGGTCCATGCTTCTGGTGTGACTGAGCCTTCTGGTGATAGACCCCCTGTTAGTGCACATGAGAGTACTGTCCTGTCTCCCGTAATCCCGGAGAAGATCAGTGACTGCAGGAGACACAGGGCTGCTGCCACCGTGGGAGTACTGGGGAACATCTGAGGGGTCGCTGGCAGCTCCATGGGGCTCCATCCCCATCCCCTCTGCTCCGTGGGTCACGGGGTGAAGCAGATCCCATGGGAACATGGCAGCGTGTGGGTGCTGAGCCGCTGTGGGAGGGAGACGTGCTGGGAGGAAGCAGACCCTGTGGATTTTTCTCTCCTGTCTGTCTTGCAAGAAGAGATCTGCTGGTTCCACACCAGGAGTGACCCCTTTAATTTCAACTCCACCAAAGCATCACATCTTCCGTGACTTTCTTCTTTAACTTCCTTATCCCTGAGGTGGTTTTGCCACGGCCGTTGGCATGGCATAGTAAATATGATGGCTTTTTTGGCAGACTTTGCTGCTTCCTCCCACCCTGTGTGAGATTTCCAGGGTGTATCCTTGCAGAGGTTGTCTCTTCATGTAAGAACCACACCTCCTTAATTGTTTGTTCAGTGACCTGTAGTTCATCAGGCCTTAATCCATCCTCACTTGCACCTGGTACTTGTTTTACTAGTTCTTAAATGCCATTAGCTGAGTGCACAGCTCTTCACACACCACGCTGTTCTTCACACACTGTGCTGCTCCCTTATGTGCTTTTCTCAACTTTGCTCTATCTATTTAGTGACCATAGACTGGATCCTGCTCATCAGATTAATTCTGACTGATTCTCAAACAAGGCATGCACTAATACCTTTAGATTTATGTAATGATTCTTGTTTGGCATTGAATTTGACTTTTCCTTTTTTTTTTCTTTTGAAAAATTAAGAAACCCTAGAAGGGATACTGGCACCTCTGTGGACATGCAGAAAGACACATCTAGAAATCTGTTCTAGTTTTCCCCAAGGACGGCCATAAAATCTCCAAATGAGACCTTAACTCCACAAAAGGGTCTGGCGAAAAATATTTAAACTTCTTGGAGAGTTCTGGACACTCCCTTCTTATCTCAAAATCAAATACCTGTAGAAGGAATGAGCTGTTGTAACATTCTTAAAGCATAGCCCTGAGGAACTTTGCTTCCAAGGGACAGGAGGGAGCCTTGGGTGCTAACGTGGTCCCTTTTTGAAGATAAAGTAGAAGAACCCACACTATTGGGCTCTAACCCAGCCTGTTGCCCTTCTGCCTGCCAGCTCCCAGCATGGGTTTTGTAGATGAGAGATGGTGAGGGAAGCTCATTCTGTTTTGGTAGATTTGTGATGGTTACGTAAATTGGATAGGATGTGCAAGGAACCGTAACGTGCAGGTCTTCCTCTTTGTTGATCTTCTGCATCTTTGCTCTGAGAGTCTGCTCGGGCAAAAACCCACTCCAAATGTTGACACACATGCAGT